GATTGGGAAGTGGTTGGAATAGTCCATGTGCAGGTCAGAGGGGAAGTGAATGGAACTGGCCATGTGCAGGTGATAGGGGAGTGGTTGGAACAGTCCATGTGCAGGTTAAAGGGGAGTGGTTGGAACAGTCCATGTGCAGGTGAAAGGGTAGTGAAATAGTCCTTGTGCAGGTGAGGGGAAAGTGGTTTGAATAGTCCATGGGCAAGTCTCTGCTCCCTGGATGACGCCTCTTCAGCTGGTTACATCTGTACCCAGCTCTATTTCCCATGTGTGTATTGTTTATTATGATATGTGGTTTGGGGTGGGTCTGTGGGGAGGTCGGGTGGAGGGGTCATGGACATGTGAGATTGTTTTTAACCAAACTGTAAAGGACTTTGTGTTTCATTTCTGGTGGTGCTTCATAGGTAGTGTTGTTTTGTCACGGACACAATTTTTTAACTAGACCTGGCAATTACTCTGCACGCAGCACACACACTATTTTGTTTATTTGTGTAGATTTGGAGCAGTTTATCCACTGAGGCGACAGAAGCAGAGAGCAGCGGGCCAAACACGCAGGTCATAGATCCCCATGGGGCTGGGCTGGTATTCAGGACTACAGCAGACCTTCAGTCCCCAGTACCCCTGTGTTTCCTCCACACTAAAACATTAGTCTGTGTATAAAAGACAGTTTTGATCATGGCTCTGCATATGTGTTCATTTGGATAAAGATGTACAATGTTGTGAGTGTTTAAGTATATTTAAGAATTTCTGCAGCGAAATGAAGCATTCAGCAGAAAAATGAGGGATTATAGGGACATACTGTAGTGGTGCAGTAGTACGCGGCCCACAGGTTGCTGCCCCTGCGCTCCACACTCCATCCCAATTACCATAGAACAGTAGTGACAGAGATATAGGTGTTGACTCTAACTTGATAAATAAATGTTCTGAATGAAGGAAGTATTAACTAAACATTACGAGAACAATTTTTGTTTGAAAATTATAGAATTCTGCAAAACAAAATTCTAACATAATCTGTTGTTTTGATTTTTACTTATGTCTAAAGCCTCAACCACAAGTCACTTGGAGTGATCAGCATCTAAGTGGGATACTGATCAATCCTGTGGAGTTATTATCAAAGAGTTGGGACAACTTTTGGTCCTTTTCCTGAGTGTCTCGCGGAGAAGCCTCACACACTTAAGAGCTGAAGATGCTTAGAAAGGCGTCTCATATTATTACTCAAACTTGTAACTGTAATTGTAAATAAAATTGCTATCAAAGCAATTACAAACACTCGCAATCAGACCATCAGGTGTTGTTTTATACAGTATATATACATGTTTTAAATGTTGTCAATGTGTAGAACTTTGGGTTGCGTTCTATATGAACTATGCTTTGTGAAATTATACAAAATTAGAATTCCAGAATAAATCATTATGCCCTGACATTTTACACTCATCCTTCTGATGGCGTTTGTACTTCCTCGTGGCCTTCGGTTCAGGTGCAAGAGCCACATCACATCGTTCCAAGCTTTAGTTTCAGGCTGAGAGTGTGTGGGCAGGTACACTGCAGATATCTCTGCTCCAGGCTCCATCCATCTCTATCGCACGTGGGCCTGATTTGTTGCTAATGTCTGCTCTCCATCATCCCCTTAGTGTGATTTCCACACACGGCACCTTTTCGGATCCTCTCCATTCTTTACACATCTTTTTTCCCCCCTCTGCTGTGTTCTCTCAGCCACTGTTGTCTCACATGTCTCGTTTAAAAAAATATGGCCAGAATCAGCAGTGTGAATGGTTGTTTGGCTGGCTGTCATCGCTAATGGTGTATGCTGAGCAGATTTAACATTCTGTTTGCGCTGTCAAAGAGGTGTGCTTTGTTTGAAACTGTGACGATCTGAATGCCAAACAAAAACAAGAGTAGTGATGTACGGGATGCCAAATCCTCACTGCTACATCTTCCAAGGTAAACGTTTTATATTATAAAATTGGGTTGTCAATCTTGCTGCCTACAGGCCACTATATTTTTTCTTAGTTTTTATTTTATTTGATATATCAAGGCCTGACAACGTTTTGTAGTGACCAAAAAATGTCCAGCAAAAATCACACAGTCTTTAATCAATAACAAAAAAGGCACAGTAAGCCAGATACAGACAGACACAACACAGTGATATTTTCATTTTTAATTAATTTCACTTATTTTTTGTACAGCAGCATCTCAACAGTAGTTATCTTGGAGAACCTATGATTCGCCAACACAGATCAGAGAATCAAACAGTTGAAACACAAGAAGTACAATGATAATAAACACATAGAGCCATTGGGGCAGATGACCAATGTCCATACACATGAATAAAGTCGTTGAGTTGAGTGTTTATTTATTTCTGAACATCATTCAGACTCGAAAAGGAGTGGGAGGAAGTTTATGTTTAAGTCCATACAAATATGTTCTGCTTTTATTAACAAATCTACAGGCACAAGTGTAATTGTCTGTTACATTGATATGTTAAATATAATTCACAGTAATGACAACTTTAATCATTCCAATGTATTTTTAACTCACTCTCTTCTTCTTCAGTCACACTATTATGAATCTCTTTCCTTATAGCCTGGACTTTATTGGGTTCAATTTGATAAGGTGTCCTCTGCTCTTCTTAAATGTATCGTTCCTTACCTCAGGCACATTTGTGAACATGTAGACGCAAAAAAAAAACTATGTCCCACTTTTACTTTTAGCTGCTGGCCAAAACAATTTATACTTTGTAATCGAGTATATAGGTCATGATTAACATCCACACATGTAAGGCCTGTATGAAGGTTTGTTCCCACCGCCACTGCTTCTCTCAGTCGCATGCAGCAACAATCTCTCCAAGATTGTTGCTTCTTGCTGCATGTTCAAACTCTTTCATGTCTTCATTCTCAAAGATATTAGTGCCATTGCTGTTGCCCCTTGTATTTTTGACTAGGCTCCCCCCCTCTCCCTCTCCCTGTCTTCTCTCCGTGTGCTTAAACAGCCTCTCTCCCCTTGGTTTTGGTGCATTGCAGAGGCTACACTACCACATTGGAGGCATCAGAGGCACAACAGCCTTGGCAATCGAGGTCTCCCTCTCCCGCACGCTTTAACTTGCCTCTATAGTATTCGCTCTGTGCTCCAGCATCGAGAGCTTTGCCTTACTTCATTTATAGTCTATTAATTCTCTATTCACATTCTTGTTATAATGCAGGATGAAGTCTGAAGTCAAAAGTTCCACTCCAGGAGCAGTGTGATTTTAATGTACAGACAAAAAAGGCAAGTTTCAATTCACATCTATTAATTTTTGTAAAGCCCTAAAACACAACAGTTGTTATCAAGCAACAAATAACAAGCAGAAATCATAGAATCAGACAGTCCAAAAACAGAAATTGCCATCATGGGTACACTGAAAGAAAAAGGTCGCTGAGAAAGCGTAAAAAAATTACCGACAGTGGGTTGCGCGCAATAATGTCTTGTTGTGGTTTTAAAATGTGTTAACGTAATATCCTCCAGATACATTCATACTATTTGAGAATGAAAATTTCAGCTTTTTAGTTACAAATAAAATTAGGTTTCAGCTTCATAATAAATACATAATCTTTGAGCGTGATAATTTCATCTTCACTTCAAATAAAATCATGATTTTCCTTCTTTTTAAATTCATCCTATTTGAGCGTAAAAAAATCCAGTTATCCACTTTAAAATAAAACGTGTTTCACTTTCGCATTTTACCCATGCATAAAGCATTTGTATTCATTATTTGTATTTTTGTTACGTTAGCATCATATATTGACGTATTACATATTTATTACATCATTTGGTTTAAGTAGTAGTAGTAGTAAGTAATCTTTATTTATATACCGCCTTTTCACTGCACATTGGAGTCTCAAAGCGGTTTACAATTGCGATTTTTGGGAGTGGGGGTGCCAGTACAGGAGGCACATGCCAGAACTATTGTACATATTTTTAGTGGTAGGGGAAACCGGAGCACCCGGAGGAAACCTACGCAGACACGGGGAGAACATGCAAACTCCACTCAGAAAGGCCCTGGTCCGACCGGGATTCGAACCCAGGACCTTCTTGCTGAGAGGCGAGAGTGCTATCCACTCAGCCACCGTGCCGCTAAACTACTACCAAATGTAGTAGTTTAACATTTTATATACATAATGAGTCTAAAATAAACTACTTCACACTACAAACGTTATGAGTTTTGACCTATAAATCAAAATAGTGCTTGTTCATAAATGATAACAAACCGATTTAATGAAGACAAATGTGCAACCATTTGTGAACATGGATCATAAGTGGAAATTTCAGAATAAAACAATGGAATATTTCAATATACTAAACGAAAAAAAACATTTTTTTTTAAATGTTCTTCACATTTCAACTTAAAATGCACACACTTGAGGCTGAAAAACACTTATGGGGGCTTCAGCGTTGAAACTTCACATTATGACATCTAAAATATCAAGGGAGCAGACATTTTACCCACAAGACTGGTCAGGATTTGGATTTTGCCTTTACAGGAAGAACTGGGAAAGAAAACTCCATTCCATCCTATTGTATTCACTTAACTGCTTAGAAAGTTATATGCATTATCCAAGAACTACAGATTCAGCAGTAACTGAAACAATTAAAGTAAACATACTTGTACTTGCATTTAGTAAAACAGTTCTCCAGGTACAAATTTGGCACTGACATTTTAAACATTGATAAAACCGCTAAAAACTTTGTTTTGCATGTCTCCTTTAAGACATTATGCCAAGTGTTTGAACGCCTAGCATAAACCACAATTGTTCATTAACTAACTATTTAAATAAATTTAACCAATGGCATAACTTCCATTCACAAAAAAAAAGTCGCAAATGTGATAAAAGCGATCAGCAAGCTCATCTTGTTTTCTTGAACAGTTACGAGAAACGCCACAATTACAAAGACCAATAACTTTCTTCTCTAACAAGCACTGAAGAGGCCTAAAATCCAGTTGAAACGGTGAACCTCCTAAACCCCTATTCAAGGAGCCGATTTTTCAGGACTTGAGCTTTCCTGGAAAGAGTGCCCCCATCAAGCTCCATAATCACCTTTTGGACCACTTCAAAGAAATACCTCTGTTGTGGAGGGTAGTCCATGTTTAAGGCATACAGCAGTCCAAAGAGGAGGGCATAAGCCAACGGAACATTGTCCAGTTCTTGGATGACTATTTGGCCTTCCAGGATTATTCCAATGTCATCTGGTTTTGACTGGGCTGCATGTTGTTTGGCAGTGAAGATTCCCACTGTAGTGTTTTCTGTGTAGTCCTCAAAGTCTGCTTCATTGTTTCCCTGCAAAGTAACAAAAAGTTAATACATTAACCAGGATACACTCTTCACAACGTCTATAAAAAAGATGTATAATGTGGTCCGATTAGGTTCATTAGGTCTTCAAATTAATATTGTAGCTATTGTTCCTATCGACAGACCTTAATGTTAGTTTTTTTTCCTACCTGACGGTTTCGGCTACAACTGTGGCCTTCCTCAGAGGTTGTCACGTGATGCCACAGTTGTAGCCGAAACCGTCAGGTAGGGAAAAAAAACTAACATTAAGGTCTGTCGATAGGAACAATAGCTACGATGTATAATGTGGTATATACTGTAGTAATACCTGTACCAAATGACAATATACAAGGACATGGAATACAAATAAAGAATACAATCTGGAAAACAAGAAAAACTACTGGATTCTTAAATATTTCCAAAATTATTAGTTCAATAAATGACATTGTAGAAGCTCAGTGTGTAGCTTTTGTAAATTTGCATATATCATTTTGGGTAATAATTGAGCACACTTTACTTAAAAAATACTAGTTGTATCGAGTGAATATTTATTTGAGCAGATAGATTTACCAAAACCTGCTTGTTTGCCTCTCCCAACTGCTCAAAGACAGGGAGATGACCCAATGAAGAATGAGAGCAAAAACAAAACTGTTATGTTTAAATTTTTGTTGAGTGTAGTAATAAGGTCTGATAATGTGTGCAAATGGCCTTGAATGTACGGTTCCAGCCCGCTGCCCGTCTCTTTTGAGGTTCTTGTCCGTTTTTTCCTAGCCCTGCCCCACTCTTAACTGCTGCCGCACATTTATGATTGCACATTCCCCCAAAACTTTGGAGCCGAATTGGTCAGGTTTTAACAGAACATGAACAGTATTCCCAGTATTTCAGCCAAACAATTCGAACATAGTAACAGAGAAGGTCCTAAATTAATACATTGTCTGGTTAAGATTTTTCGGCTGTTACGCCAATACCCTTGATCACATTCTATAATTCGGTATACTCATTAAAATATTTAATGTGAATTTCAATTATAATTGCATTGTATGTATTCATAACACAGTTCTACGGCTCCCCCCTTGTTGCCTGGCCAAACAGATGCTTCTCCTTTTACTGCCAATCATTTCCCGATTTTACCCATATTAGTCAAATCACGGACCGAGAGACGAAGATGTCACCACACTCTTCCAAAACATTAAAGATGGCGGCATGGCAACTGATATATTGCTTTTTTTTGCTCTTTCGTCCGTTTTAAATCAAATGAAAAATTAAGTTTTTGAAAAATCTTTGTGCCGCTTATTTCTGCGTCATATCCAGCGTTTCTCTAATTGGTTGGTCTCGTCTGTCAATCACGCCCACCGGGAAATTGCTAAGATCACGCTCGCACCCAGACTACATGACTTTGAAGAATCTTTGAAAAAGCATGTAGTTTGGCAGGCCAGGCAACCCCCTTGATGCCTGGTGCCCAGCACACACCATGTGCACCACACACAGAACTATAGAAGGACAAGAGTCAATTAATGCCTTTATCATTTGTGTTTTGTTTTATAGCTCATCTTGTAGATGCTTCCATGCTTTCCATGCAAAAATGAATACAGAGCGATGAAGAAATGCGTGGTCTAGTTTGTCATAGCTACTAACACGTGCTGCTACATAAAGCTTTAAATATCTAAAACATGTTTCCTATATATGTAACTATTGTATAGTATTAATCAAAGCCAACATCTGGTAATATTATTGTACTCACCACATGCTCTTTTATCAAGATGTCAGGGTCCTCGTTCAGGTACACGCATAATGCCTTCAAAATACACTCCCTTCCAGCATCGACAGCTTCATCACTGAATTCCTGGGTGCATAACAGACCGGCTTAGATCCCAAATCATACAGTACTACGCACAAAAACACACTTTTTTTTGGGGGGTTTAGACATAGTTTACTCCCAGCTTTAACAAAATTTCGTCTGATAGAGGCCTTTTTTAAAGTTTTTTTTTTATACCAGGTTTATTCCTAATTTATTCTTGCTTTAGAAAAATAATAATAATTCAAGTTGCAAATACACAGTTCAAAGGAAAGGGGTAATGATAACCGCTTATCAACAGTACTTTAACAATATCTGAATGATAGATGTATGAATGTGCAGTTTGTGTGTGCAGCTGCAAAAGCATAATTTTCTGAAAAGGATCGATAAAGTTTATTTATATTCAGGCCTGGTGCTATTTGGAAAGTCACCATTTTATGAGGTACCATTTGTGTGTGAACTTTAAGTTAAGAACCACTGATCTATGATCATATGTAAAATATAGTATAATACATACGTTTATACAATATCTAAAAAATGCACTTAATCAGGTGAAGAAACAACCACTGCAAACAAGATTACTCAAAATGGACGGACTGAACTAGTGAACCAGGAGTTCAAAATAGTTGGCAAAATTTATAACGCAATTAAAAGACTCAAAAAGTTGATTTAGCTACATCACAGAGGACACTAGTATTAAACATAAATTTGGAAAATATGTTACACTTCTTACATCTGTCATGGATTTCATCAGTTCTTGCAGCTTCTTTCCAATTTGTCCTCCCCTCTTCTTAAACAGGGCTAGGAGTTTGTTAGATAAGATGTCCAACTGAGAGAGGAAACGGGACTGAAGAGGGATGGTTGTCAGTCTCTTGAACTCAGCGTTAATCTGAAAAAAGACAAACACAGTGCATAAACTTATTATCAGTATTATCACAAAAAAACCTCAAACTTTTCATTGTGCATCAGAATACTGATGCACAATGATTCTCTCTCCCGCTCCGCTCACACACACGTGTGACATTCATTGATTATATATATATATATATATATATATATATATATATATATATATATATATATATATATATATATATATATATATATATATATATATATATATATATATATATATCTATCCGGTCAAAAGAGACGCTTTTTTAAAAATAGTTTTTTCTTTTAGTTCAAGACCATTTTTTACATTGTAGTTTCTCACTGAAGGTATTCATTTATGAATGAACCCATATGGAATTATGTTTTAAACTGAAGAATAACTTCAAATAACTTCTTCAGAACATGGCTACAATAAAGAGTGCTGATTTTGAAGAATTTTAAATTTAAGACACATTTTGAGCTTTTTTTACCCTTTTTTGTTTCCTACATAATTCCATGTGTTCATTCATAGTTTAATGCCTTCAATGTGAAATCACACAAAGTAAATAGTGTTGAAAGTTAAAAAAGTGTTTCCAAACACACACACACAGAGAGACAGAGAGAGAGACAATATAAAAACTACATACCTCATACACGTCAAACAGGCCTGGCCATCTTTCTTTGAAGTCTTGGACCAGTGGAGCATCCCGTACCACCTCATATCTTCTATATGAGAAGGTCTTGTCCATCTTTGATCTCACAATGTCTTTTCCATTTCTCTTCTTTATGTCAGCTTGTAATTCTACTCTGATTTTTTCCAAACTATTTTCTGTCTCGCCTATTGGAAATGGGGGGCAGTAGTTCACTTCAGAGCGTTTTGGTTTTTTTATTCCCAAAGCAGGACTTGAGCCTTTTGGCTTGTTGGCCATTGCATTCACTACTACCTCAGGGCACCCAAGCCGCCTCAACTCAGTGCGGTAGTGTGCCAGCTTATTCTTCAAACTGGTTTTCCATCCTTCATAGCCACTAATAGAGCCTCTCTCTGACAAACAGGGATGCTTCGACATGAGCGCCTCTCCAACACTGTTGAACTGCTTGTCGCTTACATAAACCCTATAGCGGACAATCTGTTGGATAAGTTTTTCAAGGATGTTTGATTTGAGTTTGACATCTGGAATGAGTGTTTCTCCATTTTTCCTATATTCAGCATTTGCCAGCTCTAGTTTTATCTCGCTGTCATACGAGAACTCCGGTACAATGAATTTGGATGGCCAGTAAAGTTTAGAGCCTTGTGGGTCTGGATCGGGGGAAGAGACAATGTCTGTGTCCACACTTGAAAAGGAAGTTGTGTCATCAGTTGGGGTTGAGATCGATGGTTCAGAAAGAGGCAGGGAATCTGAAGATGAGTCTTGAGACAGATTAATCACTTTAATAGTTCCTCTGTTCTGGAGCTCATTTGTGTTTGTAAGATTCATAAACTCGTTCTCGAAAAGTGGGTCCATAAATTGTAGTCGGATATTTGACGTCAGCCCACACTGACGTTTGACTTCAGCGACGAGCTCTTCAACCACATCGGGGAGTCCATTGGAGAGAATCAGTCTTTGGCTCGTATTGTCCAGAAGGACAACTTTTAGAACAAAGGGTTGGTTCATTCTTGGTCTGCAAAAAAAGTAGAGAGCATTAAACACTCTGAAAAGTAACACTTAATTCTTTAATCAAATGTGCAGTTCGTCCAAGATCTAAACACAAATCAAGATCAAGAAATAATTCAATTCTATCTAACCATAAAACCTAACACACAAGGCCAATTGTTGTCAATATTTAAAAGCTACAATTTACGAGAACACATGTAAACGTTATATTAATTAACTCAAATAAGCCACATTTGTAGTGCAAATTTTAATGGTTGATTGATTTGATTGGCAGTTTACAATCTGGATCATACTCGCTTAGCACAAAACCAAGTTGACTACATTTTGTTTTAGAACGTCAATATCATCACAGTAAAGTGTGGACAGAGACAGTATTCCTATTAAAAACATAAAATCAGGTTCTGTACAACAGAAGACATACTGTCTTCTATTTGAACTAAAATGGTAAAAGGGTATTAAAAATATGATATATAGATTTTAAAGTTGTATTGATGGTTTATAGGAATACAGCCAGAATATGCCACCCTATAGCAAATAAACCAAAGATTGGTGTAGGATTTATTCTAGCGACAGTGCGTGGCCAAAAGCTTCAAAATGGTTTGGCATATAGTTCAAATAGTTGTGTAAACTTCTGTTCAGTTTTAGTTTACCAACGTTAACGGTGATTAGCAGAAACCACGTCAGAACACTTACCTGTGAGCAGCCCGAAGTCATGGACAGCTACCCGGTCAGATTAGCCTCAGACACACTGTAAAGTAGAGCTATCCGTTAGCTTTATAGCTTAGCTTGTAGATGCACTCACGTTTCAGGCGGTTATTGTCAAATATGAAGGCTACAATCATAGCAAAACTTAGATGAGATTGGTGTGCATAGAGTTGCGCACCGTCTTAGCGTAACTTTGTTGTGCGCAGACTGATCCATTAGCTGCTGCCGCTAGCTACTTTATGTACCTAAGTGAACATGTCCTAATATACAGCGGTATAACTTTTATTCAGTCACAGTGCCAGAACACATGTGGTTCATCGCTCTCAGTGGCGCGGGTTAGCAGGTCGACAAGCTTACTGTCGGGTGATACAGGCAGCGGTTCCTCTACCCGGGTGAAGTGAGCGAGTGCGAGGCACACAGCCTGGAGCGGAAGTATAGCTACAGCCACGGGGAAATTACGTCTTTGGCATAACAGCGCCGGTGAACTTTCTTTTAAAATAATCTAAAGAACCACAAGAAAAAAGCTTAGCGTAACATTTCATTTCTTAATCATTACCAACGAGGCAGGCAAGCTACAGCGCAAAGTAGCACTCAGTTTGACTTTGCCCTGATTTAAAAGTTTGGGAAAAAAATGACAGAACAGCGCCACCTACAACAGCCAAAATAATACCCCTATGGGACTTTTCGGAGGTCAAAATTGTCGTAGAAACATGAGATTTGGTACACATGTTTCTCAAGTCAAGACAAGAAAAAAATATTATTATGGCCCCGCCCTCTGACAAACAGGAAGCCCATAAATTTCACTGCAAAATGGAAAAATGAACAGCAAAAGTTTTCATACATGTCGGTTGGAAAGCGACTCTTCCTCGGCCGTTTCACCGATTCGCCTCAAAATCGCTCCAAATCATCTCAACACATGTACCTTCAAAATGACCTCAGGGATTTTTGATCAGTGAAACATTGTTCGAGCAGCGGAGCGGCAAAATGTGACCTTTTTTTGGCCGTTTTTGACAACATTAAATTTGCTCCCGTTTGCACATACAAAGTCTGATTTGCACAAAACTTTAATACATTGTTCAACTCTAGGGTCTAGGTCATTTGAAAGTGAATTTATTCAAATTGACACATTAGCGCCCCCTACAGACTATTTCAAAGTTTTAGATGGGCATTTTCAAATTTAGTTTTTTCAAAATGTTTGAAATTTTTCACATACATCTGTTTTGCCCTCTTGATTCAAAAAGTCAATTGGGTCCAAGGCTTATTTTTAACCCAGTTGCCGTGGCGACGAGAAACGCTCCCCATTCATTGCAAATGTACACCTCACACAAACATCAAACCAGCCTCGGCCGTTTCACCGATTCGCCTCAAAATCGCTCCACATCATTTCAACATATGTTCCATCAAAATTACTTCAGGGAATTTTGATCAGTGAAACGTTGTTTGAGCAGCAGAGCGCCAAAAAGTGGTGTATTTTTTTTCAGTTTTTGACAATAGAATATTTTTTTCCGTTTGCACAAACAAAGTGTGATTGGCACAAAACTTGAATCCATGGTTCAACTCTTGAGTCTAGGTCAATTGAAAGTTCAAATTTTGAAATTGGCTCTATAGCGCCACCTACAACAGCCAATTTAAAAATGCCTATGGGAGGGGTTCAAGGTCAAAATTGCCGTAGAACCATGTAATTTGGTACACATGTTCCTCAAGTCAAGACATGGAAAAAATGTAATTATGGCTAAGCCCTCTGACAAACAGGAAGCTCATAAATTTCATTGCAAAATGGAAACATGAAAACCAATCATTTTCATACATGTCGCTTGGAAAGCAACTCCTCCTCGGCCGTTTCACCGATTGGCCTCAAAATTGCTCCAAATTATCTCAACACATGTACCTTCAAAATGACTTCAGGGAATTTTAATCAGTGAAACGTTGTTTGAGCAGCGGAGCGGCAAAAAATGACCTTTTTTTGGCAGTTTTTTTACAACATCAAATTTTCTGCCGTTTTCACATACAAAGTCTGATTTGCACAAAACTTTAATAAATCGTTCATCTCTAGGGTCTAGGCCATTTGAAAGTGAAATAAATTAACTTGGCTCATTAGCGCCACCTACAGATGGGGTCAAAGTTTTCAGTATGGGAGCGTTTTGAGGTCAAGTTTGATGTATAGGCATGAAATTTGGTACACATGTTCCTCTTCTAGAGACATGAAATAAAAGTTATTATGGCCCCGCCCCCTGACAAACAGGAAGCCCATAAATTTCACTTCAAAATGGACAAATGAAACATGACCTTTTCACACGTGTCGGTTGGAAAGCGGCGACTCCTCGGCCGTTTCACCGATACGCCTCAAAATCGCTCCACATCGTCTAAACACATGTACCGTCATTTTGATTTCACAGACTTTTGATCAGTAAAATGTTGTTTGAGCAACGGAGCGCCAAAAAGTGGCGTATTTTTTTTCAGTTTTTGACAATGAAAAATTGCTTCCGTGTGCACATACAAAGTCTGCTTTGCACAAAACTTGAATCCATGGATCAACTCTTGGGTCTAGGTCATTTGAAAGTAAAAAATTTTGAAATTGGCTCTATAGCGCCACCTACAACAGCCAATTTAAAAATGCCTATGGGAGGGGTTCGAGGTCAAAATTGTCGTAGACCCATGTAATTTGGAACACATGTTCCTCAAGTCAAGACATGGAAAAAATTGTATTATGGCTAAGCCCTCTGACAAACAGGTAGCCCATAAATTTCATTGTAAAATGGAAAAATGAAAACCAATCATTTTCATACACGTCGGTTGGAAAGCGACTCCTCCTCGGCCGTTTCACCGATTGGCCTCAAAATTGTTCCAAATCATCTCAACACATGTACCTTCAAAATGACTTCAGGGAATTTTGATCAGTGAAACGTTGTTTGAGCAGCGAAGCGGCAAAATGTGAGGGTTTTTTTGGCCGTTTTTGACAACATTCATTTTTTTCCCGTCTGCACAAAGAGAGTCTGATTTGCATTAAACTTGAATCCATTGTTCAACTCCAGGGTTTAGGTCAGGTGAAAGTGAAATATTTGAAATTGGCCCATTAGCGCCCCCTAAAGACTGAGTCAAAGTTTACATGGGGAGCCATACCAGCTCTGCTTATCATATTCCTTACAATTTGACTAACAATCTTCTATGGCTACGGAAACAAATCATCACACGGCGGCGCCACCTCCTTTGCGTAGTGCTGCGTGGTACGGTGTGGTGCGGCGTAGTGCGGGGCGTTGTGGAACGGCGTGTTGCGGCTTGGTGCGGGGCGGCTTGATGCGGGACGGCGTGGTGCAGGGAGGCGTGGTGCAGGGAGGCGTGGTGCGGGGTGGCTTGGCACGGGGTGGTGCGTGCGGTGCGGGGAGTCGCGCGGT